CGCGTGTGTGTGCGCATGTTTATATTTAGCTACAAAGTAAGTAGACAGAAAGATCACTTCATACTGTAAAAATACGTCCAAACAAACGTGTAAAACAGACAGCCTCGATGATATACTTGAATACACCTGTACAGCTACGAACACGTACACAATCAATCTACCTACCAGAGTATGAAAGGTGTAATAGCCACACTCAGGGTCTCCTGGATCAAGAAGAGAGCTTTGAACTCGTACAGATGTGAGAACTCCTTCCTAGTCTATCAAAGCGAAAAAAAGACGGAAAGGTTCAGTTAGGAACCCCACTCCCAGGTTGTAGGCTGAAGGTATCAGTACCACACTTTGAGGATATGCATGACAGCAACATGATAAGCACACTGGTGTCAGAACATGTCAATAGCTGTCAAGATTGGTAGTATAGTGTCTAAAGATGTAATACCGCCGATTCTACTTCCATTCACACGCGTGCACTGGACCAAACCCTCACCATTCGGCACTCCGGGCAGATCTGTAGTGTCTGTATATTTAGACTCTGAATATGAGGAACTTGGAGCTCATCACACAGAGATGTGCCAGGGGCGTACGTGTGATGTGTGGTCACAGATTATGCACACCTAGGACGGTAATAGAAGAGTCATACATACATACGTAGATGTATAGAGAGATATACAGCTACTGTGAAGTACGGCATGGTTGTATGTACAAGAACTAGTAACCATTGATAGACAGCACCGCACGTGCTTTGTGAGGTATAGAATTACATAGCCCGAATACAGCACAATTTAATATGACACATGACACACAGCACAGTACCATACATATACGCACGATGCACCCAATACAGAACTATACAACACAGGACTATAAACACCACACAATACCAAACAACACAGCACAATAAACACACTACTATACAACAAAACAACATAACACAATACCAGACAACTATATGACGGACACAATACAACACCAAACAACGGCACACATACGAATCAATTTTATACAACACGACGGGACAACCCCATATTATATCATACAACACCATATGGTAAAGTCAACACCATACAAAGCAACAAAGTACGGTACAAAAACGGTTCGGTACTTTGAATCACAAACCAATCAACACATACAATACTACACAACACAGTACAATAGATGCCAAAAAATGCAAGACAACAAGGGCTATAAGCACAACCCAGTATCAAACATCACAGTACAATTAACACAACATAAACTAAATAGAGATACCTACCAATCTGCTTGCTAACCCCTGCTGTTTCCATGCAAAGGGCAGGTAGTGGGTGTAGTGCACTACCCTGAACATCTGTGGGACGGGTTCCACATCATTGTTAACCTCGGGCACCAAAGCACGACTGCCTGCA